CTACTGGTACTCTCGTAGCCCTACATATGCAACAATACTACAATATCTAGGTTATTTGTCTGTAAACTTTTGAAACCGTTTTTTTTTTGCTACAGATCAAGCATGAAAATGGGAAAAAGGGGAATACTTGAAAAGAAATGCATTGGCATGTAACTAAATCTTTCAGTAAAGTCTGCATGTATAGAATAAGCTGGGCCTGAAAGTCATGTGTAAAGAGTGAAATCCAAGATTCCAAGGTATGCAATAATAGGCCATTTTGCATTTAGACTTCCTTACAACAATTCTCTCATGATAAACTATGTACAGTACATGTAAATGTAACCTATTATGAGTGCTTGTATTTGAGTACAGGTATTAGAGTGCTTGCATTTCAGTAAGAATGCAAACTGCGTACATTTTTATGGCTTCTCCCAAAAAACAACACATTGAGTAGGTCTATCTACAGTTTGCATTCTGACTACTATGTACACTTTTGGGTATTTTATACTATTTTATGGATTTGTTATCTGGTGAATTGAAAATGAATGAACTGAACTGTTACCATAAAAGATGTCAAGTTGAACTCATATTTTGAATACAAAGACGATTGTTTTATTCAACTGAATGAAATGTGTACTGAGTACTTCAACCATAAATTTATTCCCGCCTACACTGCAAAGTGCAAACACATTTGTATGAAGTTGTATGCAAAAAGGTACCATACTTATTGGTGTCTCCTTAATAGTGAAGTATCAATACAAGATTTTATCATGTACATGTACATGTTAGGATTACCGCATCAATAAACAAGTTGTCTACATCAATACAATATCTTGTTTTGAATAGAAAGAAATAGAGCATTCAAATAACTTCCACATAGAATTCGTCATTCCTACAAGGTACATTTAGGGTGAAAAGAAAGAAACATTGTGAAATTTGAATATTATTATCAACACAGCTGTAACTGACAGAAATTGCAAGTAATGGTACAAGTAATTTCTTATCACTCTCTAGTTACTAGGAGATGGGAAACATATTTAGTTGATTGATTTAGATTTTAGAATAAAAAAATAAGTAGCTTTATGCAATAAAAACACTTGTAATGAATATGGCTTTCAAACAATAACAACTGGTGATGATTGTAGTCAGTTTGTTGTTTCATGTCATTTGACTTGGCAGACCTCTTTAAATTGGTGAAATGCTTTGAAAGTTTGACTACGATAGGAAGGCTGGCGGAATGTGTCGCGGCTACCAAGAACCCAATGGACGACACTGGTTTGATATCAGGCCAAGTGTTCCACGAATTACCAGCAGGGAAGATTAGGAAATCTAACCATCTAACCCATCCTATTATTCAGCTGGGAGTGGGATAGAAACCAGTGTAATGCATCATTCAGCAGTAGTTGCTTTCCTGTTCCATTTTGATCAACAACATGAATGTGTAGGTAAGCATGAACATTTATAGTACATGTATGCGGTTTACCCCTACATGTACACAATTACATACTGTACTGTATGTACATGTAGGGTACATGAATTGTACACATACTTGGAAATAAACTGAACTGAGCTGAAGTTGCTGAACATCTTATGCAAACAAAATTGTACATGTACACACTACACTCCCATTAAATTTGTTCAATTAAAAAAAGGGCCTCACAACATACCGGTAATTAAGTACGACATCTGCTGTTCACTCATATTGAAATTTCAACCAATGTAAATTATGTTAGACTGAACCATGGCATAATTCTATGATTTTCTATTTTGATTTGTAACAACTTACAAATGACATAAGTGTAGTCAACTATCTAATACATGATTCGATTCTGAAAATGAGCCAAATCTGAGCTCCCAGGAGCTACAAGTTATTGCACTTTCAGTTTCAGGGCATACTGTATCTTCTGCTGCTTCGTCAGAACAAAAATAAAGTTTTATAAAAAAATCTTACTACCCATCCTATGTTTTCCCAAATGAAAGAAAAATCAAACAAACAAACACACACACTTTATGTAATGCTGATCTACATGTACATGTAAATGTACATCTATGGAGCATTGGAGCTGTGTATTGTACATGTACATTCATAAGCAAACTATTTTATTACAATCCTGTACCAGCACAAATTTATGTAATACATATAATTTATGCACACTTGAAGCTTGATACAGTATGACATACATACAATCATAAATATTTTATCCATTCAATACCACGAAGGACCTTGATGTTTGCATGTAAAATGTACATGTAGTCATGTACACTATAGACTAGACTTTACATGCATGTAGGCACTGATACAATACAATACATTTTTAAATGGAATCAATGTCCTCTACATAATGGTCATTCCAGGAAAGGATAGGTCATCCTGGAAAAAGATAAGTCATCCTGAACGGGGAAAGCAATCAGGGGAAATAATCCTGCCTCTACAGTGTACCTGCATGCGCTTGCCAATGCAAACAATCCCAACACAATAATGGCATTGTTGACCCCTCGGGTTGTTAGTTTCCTTAACCAGGCAGTTGGTAACTCCTTGCCTTAACCACCATATTTTGTTTGTGAATATGAACATGCATCTCTTTATAACATGATCACATATTTCATCAGCAGTTTCCTTTAAAAAGTTCAACTACAGTATGTATATCTGACTAAAATGTAGGCCTACATGTACATGTATTATGATCTAGCAATTGTGATCTTGAAGCAACCCTGTAAACGATCATCGGATCGGACGCCGATACCGATCCGATCGGGGGTGATCAGATAATAATTTCCGATCGCCGATCAATTAAAATGATCAGAAAAAATCAGCAGAATTTTTTTTTTTTTTTTTTTTTGAATGCCAAAAATTTTCAAGTTTTTGGCTTTCAAATGCTCAAAAAAAATTCATGGCTGGGATTATATTGTCATTTGGAATATGCATTATAATCCAAGATGGCGGCCCGCATGTTTTGCCTCTGCTCTTAGACTAATATTATTAATTTCAAAGTCATGAAAAATCACTAAATATCAAGAAACATGGTCTACAACTCCAAATGACAAAATAATCCCAGCCATGAATTTTTTTTTGAGCATTTGATAGCTAAAAAATTGAAAATTTTCATCATTAAAAAAAAAAAAAAAAAAAAATCAGCCAATTTTTTTGGTCGATCTTCCGATCCAATACTGATCAAAGGTGCGAGCCTGCGAGGGTGTCACTCCGATCTTCCGATCCGATCAGAGCCCTAACTTACAGGGTTATCTTGAAGTAGAATTTCAAACACTAAAAACAAAAAATGCTAGATGACTAATAATCTTTGTTCTTTAAACAAATTAATTACAGAAAATCTCTTTTCATTGAACACTTCTTGGCCCGTTGCACAAAACTTACCATTGATGGTAACTTTGCCATCAATAGTAACTACCATGGAAACCTTGATTTTAATTGGCTGTTGAGCCCTGTTACCATGGTAGTTGCCATTGATGCCAAAGTTACCATCAATGGTAAGTTTTATGCAACAGGACCCTTATCTTTAATCATTTAAGTATGATGATTACCAATTTTTTTTTTTTTTTTTTTTACAAATTCATAGCACACACACACACGTATGTAAAACTAAATGTAGCAGTTCTCATCTCTAGATCATATTGAATAAGGCTGGCAACACAAATTCAAAACCTTATCAATATAAAAAACAATGACCTACATATACACTCACACACGTCATAAAATCATGTGATGTACATGTAGCACATGACCCTAAGGGTTAATCTCAACAAAAGGCAAGTACAATATGCCACAATACACACTGAAGGTCCAAATGAAGTTCTTTTGTTATGGAATCTATTGTAATCTCTCTATTACATTAGGACGTCACCTTTGACCTTCAAGTTCATTCGTATCTTGGGGGGACGGGGTTACATAACTGACCTTGTACGAGGGCCTGAGCGCTGGATTTCTTGGTATGCCAAGAATGCACTTTCATTGTCTGGTTCTTGTCTTCAACATGTAATCAATAGGGGATCTGTTAACTACCCACAGGTCTTATTCATACAGAGAATGCATGTTGTTTACAGACCTGTCTTCAACACCAAACACCTCTTTCATTGATGTAAACAAATGAACAACATCAATTCAATACCACACATTTCATTACCAGTCACTCATACACTAAAGATGGAACAAGATGAGTTAAAGGGGCAGTCAAGCTTTGGTCCTCGACCAAGTGCATGTGGCGTAACATTTTACACAATTTATAAAGGATAAAAAGGAAAGCAAACAACTTGTCACAAATATTATCTACTCTTGAGATATTATTCCTTTTACAAATGTGCTTATTATCTTCACAGGATGTCATATACATGTATGTGAAAGGCTCTTCATTAACTTTGTAGACCTTAAACTGCCCTCATACTCCAATATGATGTAGCATGAAAGTGTGGTCCACAATCTTTTGCTGTTACTTGTCATATTTTGAATACGAGGGCATTTTAAAAGCCACCCCTTTCAGACGACATTTTTTTCTTTGATACTTTTCCATACTAACATAAAAAACAATGACAAGGCTCGCATTTTTAATGTTCACTTTTCGTATAACTCAACTATCCCTTAAAAGTGACTCTGTAACATTGCCTCAGATTCTGAAACAAAATCCTGGATTTAGCTCATGCTGCAATCATAATTACATGTATAAACGTTAAGGTTAGTCAGGAATCCCATGACTTTTACAACCCGATCGCCTGTCTGATTATCAAGATATTTATGATTGAAAATCTAAATCAAATTTTGCGTTTTCCTAACAGTTCTGATAACACTGCAGTCTATTGGGGAAAATGAGTATGGTAAATCCGGTTACTCAAAGATTTTTACTATTTTGACGCACTTCATGATCGTTTTGAAGCGCAATTTTGTTTAGGGCTTCAATATTACACCACATCACAGACACTGAAAACACGTAGGGCCATGCATCTCAGATTTAACATTGTTAAACGATGCCTTAAACCACAGACATGAAGCTATACAAATGAGAAGAACTCACCTCTGTTCAATGCCAAGATGTGCGTTGATACTGGCATATCTTGCTGTGCCAGTCAAGTTCTTGTCTTCTCTGTACTGTATATGTTGCTTGCTTCTTGAATCCTTGAATTTCTTTGCGAGACCAAAGTCTATGAGGAAAAGCTAAATGGTGTTTGAAGAGAGAGAAAATAACAATCAGTTAAGCCTGAGCACTAGAAGTAGTTCCTTATATTAACCTTTCATACAGTTTTTAATTCAATAAAAAAAAAATCAAAATAAGCAATTAAAAGGTGAAGATCATTGCGAATTTGTAACACTCAAAAAAACGATTTTTAAAACAGTAATCTCATTATCTCAGCGATTAATAAGAAACATCCCTAACCGCAGGTATCTTTAAAATACAAAATAAAACCTTTGGACCTCATTTTACAAAAAGCACATACTTATTGCACGTATCCATGAAAACAGCTACATACTGTACATGTATGTGTCAACCACTATTTTGACACAATTCAGCCAGGTATTGACGAATGAATCAGTGGCATTTACATCAGTTTCGATAGACTCGACTTCATAACAAAACAATCTTTGTATGGCTGTGTGAAGAAAAACATGCCTGGGTGTTCATAAACTCATCAAAACTTTTACTGTTGTTTCCGCATTAGAGAAGGTAATTCCTGATGATTAAGTACATGAAGATGCAAAAGGCAATAAATTTCAAACTGGACAAACGTGACTGAAATTCAACTTTTGATGTCTTTTTTCTTCATACATATATAACATGTACATGTAGGTTTGTGGAAATTCACATGAACAGAATAAGATATCCATTTTATGAAATTTGGGTTGCCACCTTTAATAGCTACAAATTGCAGGACTTATCATTTGTCTCACAAAATGTTCAAATAATAAAATCCATTAGGCTTGAACCTTGTACAACATACCTGATTGCAGTGCCTTCCGATACCCATAAGGAAATTGTCTGGTTTGATGTCTCTGTGGATGAAGTTCTTAACATGGACATATTCAATCCTTGCTATCATCTACAGTGGAGAAAAAAAAAGAAAAAGACGAAAAACAAATATTTACTGACATTGCAAACCTTTTTTAAAGTGACTCATCAGAACAGCCTAAGATTTGTGATGCTGTAAATTCGATACCATTAAACAGACATGCTTTAAAGTTTGAACACTGTCCACATTGCAATCTACATACAATATAAGTATAAAGAAAGAACAATGTTCTTTGTTAGAACATGTTTAACCATTATATGCACAACTATATTGCCCACTTGGCCACTTCAATTCTAAGTTGGCAATATCAAATTACAATCAATGCATTTAAAATGTTTGTTGCAAATGTAAATACAAAACTGACCATCTTCACGTGTAGTATTTGGTATGTGTACAGAAAGTTTTCTAAAAAATTGATTTGTCATTAAATCCAGTTTCTGTTTTCACATATTTATATATGTATACAGTCAAACCTGTCTATAGCGACCACCCAAGGGAAACACAAAAAGTGGCCTTTGTAGACAGTTTCCTTTAGTACATGATTCAATGAGAAACCATGTTCAAGGGAAACAACAAAGGTGGCCTTTGTAGACAGGTGGTCACTAAAGCAGGTTTGACTGTATTACTCATATTGCTTAATTGCATGAAGATCTAATTTTCAATGCCACAACATACAGTTCCTCCTTTAATTTATATTGTTTACTGACAGGTAAATGTAGATTAACTTTTCAATGCCATTAAAATCAAATCCTGCGGCATGCGTTTGAAAGTAGAGACTAATTTGGGATCATTTAAAGGTGAGCTCCTGTTCGTCAATGTGTGGATAACTGTTCCTGATTTGGCTTCCTGTTCTCCCGAGTGTGGGGCTACACAGTTAGGCACATGACACTTACAGGAAATGTATGATTTCACCGCAGAGTACAGCACTTGTTTGTATGAAATACTGGTTTCACAACTACACTTCATTCTTTCTCACGGTCGTTTGTTAGCGTAATTAATTATTTAAGAGTTGTGAGCTGCAAGTACAAAGTAGTACCACATTTTGTACATTAGGATAAATTTTATTTTATTGGCAACCAAAGAGCTAATTATAAAACTGGCATACATCTATGAATCAACCTTTCCATGTTGCTGTAGATTGCTGCCAGACAGAAGATGTGTTTTTAGCAGTTTTATTCTTAAAATGTTAAATAACTGTTAACACACATTCGTCAGCCACAGAAATTCACCATCACACGTCTTATGACTTCAATATGTACACTGTACATGTACAGATTGGCAAACTAAATATTATATATAATTTTAATTTTTAAGGTAATATTTGAACAATATCCCTATGAGACTATCACAATTTATCGAAAGTCTTACAAAATATCTTCCCAAAATATATTGATTAATGTTCTTAAATTATCAAAACTACACGGTGCTATATAATATGTGTATCATGAATATCTGCACATTCACATGAACATACATGTAAGTATTTTTTTTTCCCTTTTTCCCCAAAGGTTGAAAGGGAGGGGGGGGGGGGGGGGGAAGGGCCTTAGGCTCAGGGGCATTGTTGTCGGTGGCGATTGCCACATTGAAGGGATTATTCAAACAAAAGACCTACACAGGTTTCTAAAGCTGTGTAAACAGAGTGGCCAACAGTAATATATGATCGTTGATAAATGACTCATTTCCAACGATCACTTTCAATACTGTGCTTGTCTTCCAGGAAACATGGAACTTGTCAGAGTGTGAAATAAGACCTGCATGGTGCATTTATAGTCCCTCGATTTAATTATTTTTCACGGGGACCACCATGAGAAGACTCACAAGGGCTCTTTTTTTTTGTTTTAAAGAGCCCTTGTGAGCCTTCTCATGGGGGCTCTTTTAGTAATGATGGGGGCTCTTTTTTAAATACAAATTTCCTTTAAATTGGTACCCATGATACTCCTTAATTCTTCGCTATTTCATCATTATTCATTTATTTAAGTCAGCATTTTCCCTCTCACAACTTTACAAGTTACACAGGGTTACTGACTTTCATCCCGTGATAACATTCTCTCCATTTCTTCCTTTTCTGCACATTCCTCCTCATCATTCACAGCATCCTTATTACATTCTTTCTTTAGTCTTTATATCCTTCCACAATATCTTTGGTCTTCCTCTTCTTATCAATGTGCTTTCATACCACCCATTACGCTAGCCTCCAGCTCTAGCAGATATGGCGCGGCAGTGTGCACACTGGTACTACTGGCGCGGTATAGCCACTGCTAAAAACATTACACTTGCTATTTCAAGCTGACAAGTTCATTTCACCAACTAATTATTAATTGATAACATTGCAAGTTATTTTTTGAGTTGTGAATACATGTATATATATTACAGCATAATTACACATAAGCATTCTGACTTTCACTTTACAAGTCTGTACATGTGTGTACACTGTACATGTAGGAGTGAAGTCTGTAATCTGATCTAGTTGTGATTTCAAATTTTCTAAAACAGTCAATAGGTAAATGGTATAAATGAATAAATGTTCTCTTCAAAGGGGTCAAAACAAAAGATCATAAACATGTACAGTTAAATGTGCATGTATCATTTTAAGAATTGAATGTGAAAAAACAAACCTGATCTGCCAGCATAAGAACTGTCTTCATGGTGAACTTCCTACTGCAGAAGTTGAAAAGATCTTCTAAACTGGGCCCAAGCAGCTCCATGACCATGATATTGTAATCATGGCCTTGCCCAAACCATCTAAAATGCACAGGAGATACATGAAGAGAGCATGAAAGGAGTGGGAAGGGAAGGGTGGAGAGGGAGGAAAGGAGGAAGAGAGAGAGAGGAAAGGAAAGGATGGAGAAGATAGAGCAGGAAGGGGGTGGAGTTGGGGTAGGAGGGGAGGGATGGAGGGAGGTAGTGAGGAAGGTAAAGAGGGAGGGAGAGAGAGAGGGAGAAAGAGAGGGGGAGAAAGAGAGGCAGGTGGACAGGAAGGGAGAGAGACAGAGAGACAATGGCAAAAAGAAAATAAAGATAAAGATGGAAATTTGATAAATTTTCTGCAGATATATTTGCTGTGTATGTACAGTACATGTACTACTAGGCTTGGGACTAACATTAAAATTGTCAGAATACATGTTGCATGAATATTCAATTAGTACAATCTGTATTCATCCCTAGCCTAGTATGTACATGTACAGTAAGTGTATGAATGAAAGATACTTATATTTTCAAGACAGATCATACTCAATACATGGGTACATGTACATTATGTACTACTGTATGTACATGTCGAGTAAGTGGAGTTTAATGTTGAATAATATCTATTCAGAATCATATTGTACATGCAATATCAACAAGACACAACCTTTTAGTACATGTACATTGATCTTCATGTACACTGTACACAGCGTATATATGTATTACCGGTATTAATATTTTATTCCATCGTAAAGGGAAGAAAAAAAGATTCAAAATTAAATATTAATACAGTTAATTCTTCTCAGGGCAATCAAATAAGTGTCAACAAAATCAGCTGGTTGGGGGATGAACGCTTTGAGTCATCTACATTATAACAATTCTACTGGGAGCAAAGAGTAGAAAAATGCATCATCTCGCTTGCATGCCAATACCATGGCATGACAAGTTATGAGTCTTCAGACTTCAGTGCGATAGTCATGAGTCATCTTGAGTTGTGGTACCGGCTACAAAAAAACCTCAGCAATGCCGGAATTGCACTGCCTGGGTCAATTAGAAACACGCTCAGGTCTGAAAGCTTTCCGCACTTGCTGGATTATCATCATTCAACACATTAAAATAAGAATTTCTGCTTTTTTCTTAAATCTGATCTAATTCTAAAAATAATGTGTATCAAAAATAACCATTCATATTAATGTTTATGAATGTTAAGCTTCTACATTGTACCATGATCCATAACATTTAGTCAACATGTAGGCAAGCTTTCGACCACTCCTGCGGACTTTTTCAAGCCACGTAATTATTCACATATTGAGAAAGTCTACAGGATTGAACCAAAGCTTGACTACTAAATTCTAAGGATGGTAGAAGCTTAAACTACATGTTATGATTACCCTAACCAATTCAGGTTTTCTGTATCACATTAATATTCATTCATATTGTACACAAAAGGCCACACAATGGGATGCATTTACATGTATTTCATAGACAAATGATATTAGGCATTGCCCTTCCAGACAAATATTTCCTGGTACCCAGTACTGACAGATTATTGGCTGATATTGATTGTAATCTCATGCATTATTCAATATTCAATGTGAACTTATCTTACACCAAGAACTGCAGGGACCTTCATGAAATATGCTACATGTATACATGTAGATGCAATTTTGCTACAGTTGTGTTATTTTGTATTATCTTTTCATGCTTTTTTTTTTATAAAACTTCACATGATCCTGTACAATGAAGCATCTTTTCTTAAAATGTATTTACATTTGTGCTTCAGGCACTCTTTAAAGGTTGGTGGATCAGTTAAATTTTACTCTAAGGTACATGTATTTGCTAAAGTTTTGATAATTTTATGCAAAAACAACAACAAACAAGGGAAACGCTCTCGCTTTTTGCTACGCAGGCGAGACAAAAATGAATCTGAAGTGTTTGAATGGACTTACTTCATGGTTGGAATTCCTGGCCCTCCATGGAGGATCTTATAGAGCTTGCTCTCGTAGAGAAGCTGTGGATGTCGGGCCTTCTCTGATTCTAATTTGACAGCAACCTCCTGTAGTAAAGATGACACAACATGAATAGAGATTGTAATGACCACATACTGTGAAGTGCAATTATGTAGCATTTATGTAGCAAACAAAATGTACATGTACATGTCTTCTCCACTCCATGTGAACTGTATAATGTTCATGGTACATGTACATGTACATGTATGTACAGTACATGTTCAAATGCAAATGGCCTATAATAAAGCCTGCATTAGAACCTACATTGCCACTAATTGCCACACAAAAAGTAAACATGTGGTTCAAAAGCAGTTAATATGAAAAGTTAATTGAAAATTGGACAGATCTACATGTACATGTACACTGTACCCTTTCATATTATGTAGCTTACAAAGAATACCGGTAAGAGAATCTCAAATCACCAATACAAACAGAACCAATTATTAGAAAGATGGTTTTGTCTTTCACTTTACTGTACATTAAATTCCATAAAAGTGTTATTAAATCAATTCTTGCTACCCTAAATAGGTACGAAAATCTCGAAATTCGCGAGATGAGGTAATTTTCACTCTCTCGGGTCGTCACTACAACTTCCGGTATAGAGTCCCATCCCGCTGGCGCTAGCGCCTGTGTTCGCTGTGCAGAGTTTTCACGCACGCTAAAATCGATGCCAATCAGTGTAATTTGTACAGATTATAATATGCAATGGAAAGCTTCGGGCAGAATTAGTGACTTTAGCACAAAAGGCCGTTAAACTCTACCGTGAAAGAGAGGCTTGTGATCACGAACGCCTGCACAGGAAGCTGTAATGTCGAAAAGCTATCCCATAATGCAATGCGCGTTTTCAGGATTTTCCCCGGATCTCGGCAGAATCGCTATTTGGGGTAGCGAGAATTGAATGCACAGTTGCACACATAGTTTTTTTAAATAACTCAGTCATTCAAATCAATTCTATTACTGCCTGCCAATGCCAGGTGAACAGGCACAAAAAAAATACAAAAAAAAGCTGCCGAGTAGTTGTCAACAGTGCGAGTATTCAAATACACTGTACTCGTCGCAGCCTTATTCAATAGCATACATCTATTTATTTTAGACCACATGTACGTACATGTATGAACTACTAGACCATAATCGATGGCAAAAGAATTTGGATGAAAGAATTTAAGGTTATAATTCTCTTGAGATTCATACTCCTTCATGTAACTAGGCCTGTAACCGATCTGATGATCGGGGGCCGATCCTGAGCCGATCATGCCTACATTATAATCCAAGATGGCGGCCCGCATATTTTGCCTCTTCTCTTAGACCAATATTATTAATTTCAAAGTCATGAAAAGGCACTAAAATCAACAAACATGGTCTTCAACAACTCCAAATGACAAAATAATCCCAGCCATGAATTTTTTTTGAGCATTTGATAGCCAAAAACTTGAAAAATTTTGTCATTTAAAAAAAAAAAAAAAAAAAAAAAAAACTCAGCCGATTTTTTTTTTGCCAATTATTTTTGCCGATACCGATCACAGGTGCGAGGGTGTCGCTCCGATCTTCCGATCCGATCAAAGCCCCAACTTACTGGGTTACATGTAACTGGTGTCAGGAGATTACGGTATGTGTAAAAGGGCAGGTACACAGATCAAGCAAAGCACATTAAACAGCTCCTACATGTACGTGTAATTGACTTAGAAAAAACATGACATAACAAAAAACAAAACAAATCTTTCCTCCTGTACATAATCAGTCATGTGGGAATCCTACATTCCTACATGCACCGGTACATGTTCTTGAGGGCACCGTAAAGGATTGCAAAATTCAAATCCTGATTTGTATGTGATTTAGCCTCATGGCAATCAGACAATGAGATTCCTTGAAAAAAAAGTTGATAAAGAAGAACAAAGTGACTCCATTATAATTTGTACGTATTGTATTATGATTTTATACTTCCTCCACATAGACTGCTGTAACATAAAATATATTAGATGTAAGGCTGTGCACAACAGTGTAATGAGGTACCCGAGTACACTCCCATGCTTACAAGCGAATACTCGAGTATTCGGACGCCATGTTTTTTGTTTTTTTTAAATTTGATTTTTTTTTTTTTTTTTTTTTTTTTTAATTTGATTTTTTTTTTTTTTTTTTTTTTTTTTGCATATTACAAACACACCAAAATGCTTTCTGCACGTCTCAAAATCATTCAAACTAGAGAACGGGTACTTCATTCATAGCAACCATACAGTAGTTTCTTTGTACAAAAATTTTGAACCAGAACTTAGCTGTAACATAAAAGTGGAATTATATAATGCAAACGGTAGATGGTAAGAATTAAAATCTGTCCCATGGAAACTCACCATTTTATAACCTGATACCCGGTAACTTTATGGGATTCATACAGTACATCAACGTGTACATGTACAGTGATTGAAACTAACTTTCACTTCAAAATAAACTTACAGTGTTTAACATGGTGCTAATGACTAAGACTAGTAAGAGTAAGACAAGTAAGAGTTATTAAGAAGTGGTACCAAGTTACCAACTGATTTTGTTTATGTTATCTTGCCTCGCCTAGACCGAAAGCTTCAGTCTCTGATATCGATGGTGGTTCCGCTGAGATTGCATCTGGCTCCACTGACCGCCTCTTTACATAGACTGAAGTACGGCCTATGCCGTACTAGTGGATCAAATGGTTCGGTTCGGCAGGACCGTGATGAATGAGATATGCAACGAGATTTTCACTCTTTACATCCTAATAAATGCACTTTTGCTGCAATATTACATTAGGCTAATAAAAATATTTAAAAAAAAAAAAAAAGATGGCTTTGACTTATGATAGCTTGCTCATTTATATCCTAAATTAATGATTAATCCGAGAAAGTCTCGTAGTCGACATGATTCATTGTCATCCATCTTGGTTTTAATTAATGAATATTCATTTTTTCTTTTCGAACGTCCAATAGCTACGTACGAGTCAACCCAGTGATATATGAATATTCATAAACCCAATACGAAAGGAGTGCTCTGATTGGCCATTCGCTATGTTTTGGTAGGTTGACCCGGAAATATATCGGCCGGGTGAAGTCATAGATTACTAATTTGAATGGATGAACGGTACGTTTCACGGTTCGGAGAAAAAAATTGGATAAATCATATAGGGTCTAAGTAAGTCCAAAAATTTCGCATTTGTATGATAGGTCAATTATTATTATTTAGTGTGAACAGGAGTACAATACATATACTTAATTTAAATCTGATTTATAAATCAGAAAATTAGATCTAAATAGTGAAAATCGGGGGAGAAAGCTCTATCACCATAAGTGGCAGCTGGATTGGCCAGATTACCACCACGGTACGAGATCTCTGGGTTGCCGTCTGTATATGGGGAATGTCAACAAATGTCAGTTTTATTAAAGAAATGACCCATATCAGATGGTTATTTCTGTCTAGCCTCGCCTTGCCCTTGCAAATTATGAAATTATCTTATTTTTTTATGGATTGCATTTAAGAAGTAAGGCCTAGTGTTTTCATGACATTTTTAATTGCAGCGCGCATGCCACTCCGACATCTCTCTCTTGTATCCTTCCTCCGCTATAGATCTATATCTCTGGAATCCTTTGACGATAAATAACAATTTTCTAAGTCAAACCAATTTGTACAAATTGTAGTAAACAAAAACTTGGCAGTCCACTTGGTAATGTTAATTGAAATAGACCGTCTAAATAAATGTGTGTAGAATATGAGACATCAATCGAATATCACGTTTAGGTCTAGATCTACTATGAGTTCCAAACTTTCTGCGATTTTAGGAAAAGTCTGGTCACGTCACGGTCACCCATTCAATCAAATTCGATCTGATCATACTTCAAATAGGCCTACTACAAAATCTTACTAGATCTAGAACTTAGTCTAGTCCGTAGACGGTAGACCTCTACTATCTAGTCATACAATTACAATAGGCCTAGATCTAATACATATACCAGGGAATAATTTTCCTGGTATCGCATCGCAATTTGCTATGCATTTTTGCATGACTGCCATGGCCCTCGCGTACACAGATAACGCGTGGCGCGCGCGCCACGCGTTCTTGATGGGCCCGACCTAGCGCCACGCGTTCTTAAAAAAAAAAAAAAAAAAAAAAATCATTTTTTTTTTTTTTTTTTTTTTTTTTTTGAAAAATCAGAAAATTCCGGATTTTCTGGTCCTAGAAATCCCCCAAAAACAGAATATTTTGAATTATTCGTAAGGGTTGGCAGGTATGGTATTAAAAATTAATCAAATTACTTGTAATACTTGTAAAAATAAATTTAAATTTAAAAAAAAAAAAAAAAAAAAAAAAAAAAAATCAAATTTTTACTTTTTTTTTTTTTTTTTTTTGGGGGGGGGGGGGGGGTCAAATTTCCCTCAGGTCGCGCCACGCGTTTTTAATTTCTTGGCGAGAGGCCTGATGACTGCTATACAAAATATCTTTTGTGTAGCAGTTTTCTTCCATAGAAATGTACAGAATTTCATTTGAAATATTTATCCATCGGCTGAAATTGCTAATCAAAAAATTTGAGGAAAATTATTCCCTGTAAAAAAAAGGCGGTAGATCTAGTAGGGGCCTATGGCTATAGACTAGTCTAGATCTACACACTAAAATGTTAGTTACAGACTTAGTTAGTCTATACAGTACATAAATTGTATTTGTAGACTAATTGTAGGTCTATTTGATGTAAAATTGTTAATGATTTGGAAAAGAAAAACAATTGAAATTGAATTGAATCATGTGATTGTGAAATTAAAAAAGTCCAAAAAAAAAAATGCTAAATTCCTCTTCAAATGATCAAAATTAAATATTTATACTTGCCTCCCCATTGTGAATGTTGATTCCAAGATAAATATCTCCGAATGATCCACTGCCTATCTTTCTCACCAAACGGTATTTATATTTATCACTGCCAACAATGAATTCTCCACTCCTCCCAGATTGACATGCTGAATGCATGCCCGCAGCTGAAGGCGCAGCCGACATGTTTCTGTACAAATGCTAAACACGGCTAAGAAATGATTAACTATCTACAGGAATATTGAAATGAAAAGTACAAATTTGACACTAATTCATCCGATTTCATAGCGGATTAACAGTACATTCCATTTCTAACTTATCAAAGTCATTTCCTCTGAATCGGGACGCATTCCTTTGCACAGATTTCCAGATAAATCCCCAAAACAACAGACTTTCTACGTCCAAAATAATGAGCGGATAATTCTTCTCTTGAAATCGTACGTAACGCAAATCACACCTACGAGCGCGTTATAGAGCGGACATTTGACCTCCACGTATCGTCCATGACAAATTCGCGGGTGCATTGCTAAGCCGAGATATAAGCGACACAAAGACATTGCCCTTTGACCCGGACTGATCACAATAACAATCCGATATTGCATTGTGGGGGAAATGGGAAAGCTAGAGCCCATTGTTGTTACCAAAGCAACTGCGAATTTGCCAACGCCCTTTAGTTTAGATTTCGATAAGCTATTAGCTCATAAAGAACAATGATATTACGGTTGACGATAATAACTTTTTATATTTGAAACCCGCTTTCGTTATCAATTTAGAGAAGAAGGAGAACGGGGGAAGAAGAAGAAGAAGAAGATGATGATGATGATGATTCACAGCATTTTGTATGGCGCCATATACTGTATCTGTTTTTTAAAAAAATTCAAAGGTGCGAGTGGCTCCTCCAATAAAGTTAGCATTTTAATGTCTGAAGGAAGATGTAAGGAGAAGAAGAAGAAGAAGAAGAAGAAGAAGAAGAAGAAGGAGAAGAAGAAGAAGAAGAAGAAAAGGAGACTTAATATTAAAAATATGTTGCCCCTTAACATTGTTGGATTAATGCTGATTGGTCCAATTAGGCCTATTCCTTTTTCTCAACTATAACATGATATACATTTTTTTTACGGAAAGGCGTGTGAAAAATGTAAAGCATCCAACAAAAGTCCACTTTGGACTAGCTAGATGCAGCCTATTTCAGTTTGGAAATTTGAAAATAATATTAAAAAGACCCATTTGCCTCGGGGGGGGGGGGGGGATGCGCATGAAGTGCACCCGTAGGCTCTATATCCCATGCATGTCTTTGATAACAACACATTCTCTGGCTGGTATACCTAAACAAAAAATTGACCCCACAGCTTTTTGGAACCCTCCCCCCTCGAAAAATGAGCATGGGGTCGAAAACATAACATCATTTTGAGAATACTACCTCATGGTCCGCCACTGGTAGGGCTACATAGCAAACTGTTTGAGTGAGTATTATTAAAGGATAAGTCCAGTCCGGAGGGGGGGGGGGGTATAGTGAGCACTATTTTTTTTTTTTTTGTCCTCGAAAATTTGAACAATTGCACTCCCCCCTTGAGCGCCAGGGGGGGGGGGGGGGTCATCTCCAAAAAAAGGTAAAATTAACGTTTAAAAATGTACAAATACACTTTTTTTTTCATGGATCCCCCCCCCCCCCTGGATCCGCCACTGGTTCCAGCCGGCGGCAAGGGAGGGAGCCAAATAGGGACCCAATTCGTGAGAAAATATTTAGCGTTTAAAAAGGTAATAATTATTTACCTTTGGGGGGTAGGAGAGGGGGCCCAGGCCCGCCCCTCCCCACTATAGATCCACCATTTGGGTGGAGTAAGAGAGTCCGAACCACTCACGCACACTTTACGTATACCTCCCTTTTCACACAGGGGGAAAATCCTCTCAAGTTTAGTTTAAAGAGCTTTAAACGAAAACTTACGCGCATCTGCTCTGCGCCTCGTCGCTTATCCTGTTAAGCACGGGGAACGTACACCAAAAAAGCCATGTTTTGATATAATTGCTGGTATTACGGGAAAATGGAATTTTTTTAAAAAAATCTTCGGACGGTTTCTTATAATTTGAAATGTCGTCTTAAAAATGATACTAAATTTGGGATTATTCTTTCAGGGGAAACGGTTGCACTTTTCCCTAAAAGTTTTGACTTTTTCAGCCTGCCTATGGAGATTGCACTGTTTTTCCCCTTTTTTGTCGGGTTTCGCTCAGTCAACCAGTCGGCAAATCTTACACGAGTGACGTATAAAAAATCTTCGGACGGATTCAGAAACCTTGACATCCCACCTTTACGTTGGTATAACGATTGTTTTCATTTGTGGAGGGGAAACGGTGGCACTTTTCCAACAAATAAAAGGTAGCTTTTCATAGTAAACCAAGGTGACTGGGATAGTGTAGCGCTATAGCTACTCACAACGAGTGCGCCCGTACCGTACAAACAATGCACTGTTATAGCTTCCGTGCAATCGCTGTAGAGGTCATCAGTGTGTGTATTTAACGCAGTGCGTACAGAGTGTGTGCGTTGCGCTCAAAATCTCGGAGACCGCATTACGCGCATCATGTCTATACATGCGCACCCGAATGGGTCATTGCACTCCAACTAGAGGGAAGTCAGTATAATCATTGGCAAAGGGAATGAGTTCGATTTCGTCTACGGTGTAATGGCAAGCCTCTGCTGGTGTAGTCTACCGTAATTTTGCATTTATTTAACTATAGGTGAGTTTCATTTCTAATTCTAGTTTGTTAGTGTTAGTAAGAAGTCAACGAGAGCAAGCGCTCGCACCCCTGCTTTGTCGCATTGAACTAGTCCGATCAGTGTACTTTCACGCAAGAGTGCACTTGAGCGCGCTCTCTTCGTTAAGCGGTTGTTTAGTGCTGTATTCTTTTATGCGCGTTTAGGGCTAAAAGTTTTCCATATGGCGGATCTAGAGTTCCGCGGTCTGCTAGGAGCCGGTTCCGAGCTGATGTGCTATTTGCTATGGCGCCATCTATTGCTTTGGTCATTATACTATATAGCAACTGATGAGATATGAGCTGCAAAATGAATGTGACGCGTATAATTGATTTTCGATGGCATGACGGTATAAGTGATGAAGACAGATTTTAATTTGAGGTGGTAACGGGGGGAGGACATTCGAGCTAATATTGAAAGACATAAATGAATAACAAAACATAATAATAACAATAAAAGAGACCTTTATTTGCGTGGGGGGGGGGGGGGGGGGACGTGACAGCCAGGGGGCGCGTATTTCCTTACTCTTACTGACATTCAGTTTCTTTTCATATTTTCCAGATTTTTTATGGCATGCAAGTTTTCACATTCTTTTTATCGTTGTGTCATTATCATCAACACTATTTTTAAGTGAGCAAAGAAAAAAGGTCTAGTCTAATTTCGTTCTTTGTTTTCTTTTCTTTTTATTACTCGACTATTTTATCAGTTTATAGTTCATAAATTTGTTCAGGCCGTTTGATTTTATTGCCGTTTCTTCAATTTGTTTTGTTAGGCTTGATGTGCGCCCCTAGGGTCTATAACTTCAAAATTATCGTATATTGAGAAATTATCTATAATTATGTAAAATTTACGGAGATATCATTAAGTTAAGATGATATTCTTTTACAGCTCTGAAGAGGGAGAGGGATGAACTGCTTGCTATGATGGATGCTAATGAGAGACTTCAATATGACATTGGTCCTCTAAGAATGATGCCTGCATGAACAACTCAGTATCTGAGGTAGTTTGATAGAATGATTAAAGAAGGAAGATGAAAGGAAGAGTAGATGATGGAGGGAAGAGGAGATGATGGAGGGAATATGAGGTAGGAAGAGGATGAACTGCTTGCTAAGATGGATGCTAATGAGAGACTTCAATATGATAGACATTGGTCCTCTAAGAATGATGCCTGCATGAACAACTCAGTATCTGAGGTAGGTTGATGGGATGATTGAAGAAGGAAGATGAAAGGAAGAGTAGATGATGGAGGGAACGAGAGACAGACATTGGTCCTCTAAGAATGATGCTTGCATGAACAACTCTGTATCTGAGGTAGGTTGATAGAATAATTGAAGAAGGAAGATGAAAGGAAGAGTAGATGATGGAGGGAATAAGAGGTAGGAATGGGAAGAACTGCTTGAGGATGATAATGAGAGACTGCAGTACAGTGCGTATAAAAAAGTGTTCCAAACTTTTGTAGCTTCTAATAAAAAAAATATATAACTTATGTGACCTTGAATCATATTTCTTAGAATTATTTATTTATTAGAATTTACTTTGAAATAAAGACAACTTCATAATAGTAATATAAATAGTTGTAATAGTCGCTCTGTATTTTCTAAAATCTATTTCATTCCCCACATATATACACGAATACAAGATACGGTAATAAGACGCGCATGCAGTTATATAACGAAAAATTAGCAGAGAAATATCTTTGACATTGTTTTTTTAATGCGAATAATTACAGGGAAATGCTAAACGAACCTATACTATTAGGTGGACTCACAAGTTAGTTACTTTTTCTTGGGGGGGGGGGGGGGTTAAAGGGAAGGGTAAATATACCTATCGTGGTCTATTTTTAATTTCATATTTAATTAGGCTATGTATATATTTTCATGGTAACATTGCGATTTTTCTATCATGAACTTTAAAAAATTAAGCTCACTATAAACATCTTTGGCCGCTCGCTCGATCAGAAGATGCTTAAAAAGCCGGGTTAATGATATGGTAACGAAGGGCCATCAGGGAGAACAGCTTTCATACTGTTTAATTATAGTTTGAAGTTTGAAGTTAATTATCCAAACAATCAAATGTGAATGTTTAACAATGTAAGGAAAATAGCATTAAATGCTAATCTTGTCACCCCATGCAACCCCTAACAAAAAGGTGTGTGCCTAACATAAAGGCGGATGAATTTATATATACGTAGGCATATATATATTCTGCATATATCAGGACAATTACCCCTTGGAAAAAATACTCCCAAAGACGATACGCCCCCCGGGTCGGACTCTATTAATACTCGCCGAGGACAATTACCCCCCCCCCCTAAAAACATTAACCAAGGACAACCTCCCCGAGGATAATTACCCCATCCCTAAACATTACAGCCTATATCATAGGAAAATTACCCCCACCCCAAGGACAACCAAGGAAAACCACCCCGAGGACAATTTCATTTAAAACAATTATTATTAAAAAAAAATTAGTGAGCACTGGATCTGGATCACTGTCTGATATATTATGTTATACGATTTTTGTTTCTTTCTTCAATGAATTTATTAATAAGATATTGTAAATCTTTTTAAACACACGTGATGGGGGGGGGGGGGGGGGGGGGGGGGGGGGGGGGGGTAAGCGGACACTTTTTTTTTTTTTTTGGTCTCAAAATTTCAAAATTTGACATTTTTTTACGTATGGGGGGGGGGGGGTAAGGTCACCTTATTTAGGTTAGCCGTGGGTATAATTTTTTTTTTTTTTTTTTTTTTTTTAAATTAAAAAAAAAAAAAAAAAAAAAAGCCAAAGGGGGGGGGGGGGGGGGTTTAGGTTTTTTTAGGGGGGTTTACATACATTAAAATACCAAAGGGGGGGGGGGGGGTTTGAACCCCCAAAACACCCCCCCTGCGTACGCCCCTGCCCTCAAGGGTTATTGATGCACGTTTTACAGGAATCGCAGCAAACTATTGTTTGACCTTTGACCTCGGCCTAGCCTGTTGCGTTGTACTGTACCTGTACACATACTTGTACGAGATCGAGAGGGAGGTTCCTCATCTTCATTAATACAGTTTAGATTGCCTGTTTAAATCGTTTCTTGTCAAATTTTGCACTCGAGACTGACAAAAGCTCATGCTGAACGTGAACATTTTCCTGAATATCTTATTGAAGTATTGAGCAGTGCACAATCTTCATCTCTGCTGCTCTGCCTGTACTCTGTAGCTCTCATCAGCGGAACGGCAGCCAAGTGAATGGGGCTACAGTAGGGGAGGAACGTTGTGCTGATATGGGCGAAGAGCGCGGCCTACGTACATACAGCACTTCGGGATGTCAGAGAGAGTGCGACTCCATATTGTCTGCTGACAAAGTTTAGAGCGTCAAATCAGTGGATCAAAATTGAGATTTACTAACAAAAGGATCCTAGACCTAGGATTATTTCTTTGCTGTCTGTTGTATAGATAGTCACCATGATCAATTGATGTTAATTCTAATTGTTGTTGAAAATTGTAGAATCTATGAAAGGAATTAAAAATTAAATTTCTACAATTTTTTTGATTTAGACCTAATTTTTTTTCTTACTCTGTGACTTTGTAGAATTTTAACGAGTTTAACACAACAACACGTGTGTTAGTGAATTGTGAAATTGTTTATTGAAACATAGACATGATAGAGATCTGATCACTATATTGGCTTGCCATTCCCTTCGGGAAACCCAGCATCACTCAGCTGACGTTGACTTGGAATTAGGAAGAAAAGTTCACGTTCATGAATGATAAGCCTCTATACATGTAAGAAGAATGATGGTTGATATCTATGGACTGCCACCGAACACTGACACTGCGAGATCTGATGAGTAAAATGTGTGGTGGACTAACAGTACTACTCGAGAGCTATAATATAAACTGATGTGAACAAACTTCTAAGCAGACCACATTAGAACTGACGATGAGTGGAAGTAGAGTGGACCTAAAAGTTGTGCTCCTGGGGAAGGAGTATGGTGGAAAGACTAGTCTTGTGGAACGTTATCTCCATGACAGATTTCATGGGGATGTGCCGTACCAAAACGTGAGTGTGAGTAATAGATGTGTAGGTTTACCTTATTTTTTGTACACTGGTCATCGTTTCATGAAATTGTCATAAGTACAAGTTCATCAACATCCCTTGAAATATGTGTATTAAGTTTAACACACGTTTCAATGGGATGTTGGTGAACTTGAAACAATGCCATGCCATTGTTCTACAAAAGTTATTTTTGTTGTGCTTTTGTCTTTTGAGTTTTGACTAAAAAGAGTGTTGTTCCAACAGACCTGCATCTAATCGAGAATATTCATCTCATGCAGTATGCCAAGACACTTCAGTTTAATTTCTTGTATTTAAATCAAGAGGACAAGGGGAGTGAGGAAGAGTACAAGAAAAAGAAAAAGGAGGATGAGAGGAAGAAATAGAAAAAGGAGGATGAGAAGAATAGAGAAATTAGATGATTGAAAACTCATCCTTAAAAAATGCAGTTGGCAAGATTTCCTACATACTGTACTGTACATTTTCCAATAGGTTTACCAAAACATACATGTATCTTGCGAACAAAATTAACATTGTAGATGCATTACAAAAACAGCAACAATCTCTTTTGATGTGCTACATGGAATAGATGTGGATCTGCAACAAGTGTCCGATATGATTTTTTTAAAGGGATCAAAAGATCCGATCAATCAATCACCTAAAATCTGCGCATTTTTATTCCTTTCTTTAAAGTTCTAGTATTGTACATTAAAGAACCATTATACACTGTATGGCCTTTAACAAATCTACCTTGATATTATCAAGTTGGCTGTATATGTACGGTACATGTAAAAAGAGAATCGTGAAAGAATCATCAAGTTTGAGAAAAATAAAAAAGAGAATATAACAGTCATGAACTTTTAAATGTGTAGTTGATTAAAAGAAAATTGTTGTCAAAAAACATTTTCCCTTGTAGATATTCTTCATCTTTGTTAAATTGGCTCTGATCATGCACACTTTATCCACAGAAAAAGACTTATATGATTTCAAGAACATTAAATGTTTTACTTAGAATGCATGCATGTACATGTTGAGGATTGGTAGGAGACAAACATATTAATGAAAATCCTGTAATAAAATACCCAGCATTTCTTCTCAGCTCAGGAAATGATTACTATTCACCCTGAATTATGATCTTCAGGAAGTAATTCTGATGCCCATGGTTTTCCAAGTTATTTCCCTGACTTTGTTTCCTTCCTGTTAAGTTTTCTTTTTTGTTGTTGCAAATTACTTCAGATGCAGTGGAGTGGTATTTGAACAACACTTGCATTAAATTCATTAATCATCCGATTGTTTGCAGCTTATTGGTGTGAATAACATATTTGTTATAGTGGGAAATGACATCTCAGACGATATAATGCCTCTATTTTTTAGGCAGTGTAAATATGGTTTTGAAACGTACGTTGGAAAACAAAAGGGAAGAACTTCTGGTCGATAAAGATGTTAAGAATAAATGAGTTTTGCCATCGATTTAAATTCGTTTTTAGGATATTTTTTCGACATAATGACTTGCAGTTTTAGAAAATCCTCTCTTTTTTGTTCACTGAAATGTTTACCCCCCCCCCCTCCCCCCACACAAGTACACAAAAAGGAATATGTTTAAGTTCCTAAACTATACATGTAGCAGTAATTGTATGTACATGTAGGTTTAAATACTGCCCACTTAAAGGTACTACAGTATGTACCATTTGCAGGCCCAAGGTTAAGTTCCAACAGCATTTGAAAGATAATACTATTATAGAACTTCCCTTAAAACAAAAGGGCTTGAAAATGTCTTGAAAATGTCTTTTTGTGGAAAAATAACGCCTGTTGCTGAATCAAATTGAGCGAGCATGCTTGTTTAATTAAATACTTGTACCGGTAGTCTAATTTTCAGATCCTTGTACCAAATGGTCATATGTTTTGTGCTGCACAAAGATTCAATCAGTTTAATTTTGACCATTACAAGAAGTGGGTTATCAATGTAGACACATGCTCATGTGACCCTTTACAGCTCATTTTATGTAGGTTATTACCAAAGAAAAAAAAAGTCAGTCAGTCATTCAATAACTTATCTGACAGTGAAGTCTAGAAAGTAAACAGGTTTCTAGCTTGCCTAATTTGAATACTAGGACACTGCTAACATTTATATTTCACAGATAGGACATATGTGACATATTCATAATTTCCTGCAAAGTTCTACAGAATTTGATGATGGCTGCAAAAGGGATACACTACCTTTAAAATCCTGGAATAATATTGTGTCAACCATCCTCTTCTTTAGGAAAAAAAGAGAACAAAACATAGGCCCCTGTCCACACACAACCTTTTCCGTGATTAGCTATACCGTTTCGCGATAGTGATACTGTTTCGCGATAGTGATACTGTTTCGCGATAGTTTTACGATGAAAATTGTAGGTGTGGACGCTCACTAACGATACGTCGTATAACGAAACTAGTCTAACGAAACGCAGGTTTGGGCATCGTTTCGAACTGAACTCGATAAAGAATCACGCCTAATCACGGACATTTCATTTCATGACCGCTGCGCAGCCAGATGTTTATACATAAATATACTGCATGCATTGTTCCAGTGGCACAGTCAATGCAAATACTAGTACTAGTGGTGCTGCACATGTGTTTCTGTTTCTGTTTCGACTGCGCAGTAGCAAACTGCGCACCTATACGACGTTTCGTTATAGAGTTTCGGGATAACTTTTTTTTGTGTGTGGACACTCTGGAATTTATACGATGATTGTTTAGTGACGACGTTTCTTGTGTGTGGACATTCTGGAATTTATACGATGATTCTTTATACGACGTATCGTTATAGAGTTTCGGGATAAATTGTTTTGTGTGTGGACACGCTGTTAGATACTTCCTGTTCCCACCACTCATGAATTTAACAGCCTTTTCAATTTTGTATTTCAGACACAACAATTGAAAAAATTGATACCTCTTTTTGTATCAAAAAATATAAAAATAACCCTACTGTACACGTACATACTGTAGCAAGCTTTCTCAAAGTTGAGAAATGTCTTTATAGATTCAAACCATCAAGTGGACACTATGTAACTTAGAATATTCTAATTTATGATGTATTTATGTACGTCTACATTCTCTTTGCATTCCAGACTATAGGAGCTGCCTTTGGAGCCAAGAAGGTTGATGTATACGATAGGACAGTCACAATGGGTGTATGGGTAAGGCAACACCTCCTCATTCCCTCCCTCTCCTCCCCCTCCCCTCCCTCTCCTCCCCCTCCTCCCCCTTCCCTCCCTCTCCTCCCCTCCCTCTCCCTTCCCTCCCTCTCCTCCCCCTCCCCTCCCTCTCCTCCCCCTCCTCCCCCTTCCCTCCCTCTCCTCCCCATCCTCCCCCTCTCCTCCCCTCCTCCCCATTGAGACAAAGTTGAAATACATGTAGCTCACATGGACTTTATATTTATTTATGTTTTACAGGAGCATTTTTAATTTTTTTAATTTTTAATTTTAGAATGGAGGAGACATATATCTACATGTCTGTGGCAAATTTGCTCCCCCACATACATAACATGTATAGAGTAATAGAAAGTTTGAGATTCCCTCAATAAATAAAGACGTATGAAAAACTGGAAAGTAAAAAGATTAGGGCTGCAAGTAATTCACCATTCCCCAAATTGTGAACACAGTGCAGTATAAACTGATTTACATGCAGTTAAAGGCTTATAATACTGCTTGTTTGTAGTTGGACTTATATTTAAAGGTGTAATTGGTGTAGAATGCTTGTCACATGGATTTTGGCAAGAAAAGAAATTCTGAAAATTACACCACACCTTGGCAGAGAAAGTGAATTTCCTTGTAATGTAATGAAATACTGCTTTACTTCATGATGTAAACCTTGGCATGGAAGAATTTGAATCCTAAATGTATTTAGGTATAAATTAGCTTCTTTTTTTCCTATTTATTGTGTCATTTTTTACTGTGTTTTTTTCCAAAAAGAAAAGAATAGAAATGTACAATCCAAGTTCAGAAGATTTTAAATGCATGAAATATAAACCTATTACATGTAAAGCAGACAATATGTGAGTTACTGTGAAAAATAAGACAGGGAAAGTATACACCATCCATTTTAGCATGCATTCAATGCATATAATACACTGATTTGACAGCTGTTAATTAATTGAATTAATTAATTTCATGTAATCAGGATACGGCTGGATCCGAGAGGTATGAGGCCATGAGCAGGATATACTACAGAGGGGCGAAGGCTGCCATCGTTTGTTATGGTGAGAGTTATTGATTGCAATTCTATGTACTTGCCCATTTCTTTTGATTAAAGCTCCTGACTGACTATAAGTTGCTGCAGACAGTCAGAAAATGTATAGGCTGATATGCATACAGTCTATAGTTGATACATACAAGTTTTCAATAAATCTTTGTCTATGTATTAGAATTGTGAGAAACAGGTTAACTGGTTGTAACAGATAGCCAGTTATCATTTAAGTTTTCATTTACTTTTTTCGAACATCGTTCATTAGCATTTTGAGACACCTTTATTGTATACTTGAATAATGGTTCATTAATGCTCTGAACTACAGTACATGTATGTGGACTGTAATTGTTATTCATATGTCTTTCTTTTTTGCATTGGTGAAGATTGAGAAGAAAATTATAGCCACTTCAACACAAAAAATAATGGAAAACATGCATGAGTACAAGCACATTGGTTACTACATTGAAGATGGTATCATGGTGAGAGAGTTCTGTGAATAGTGCCCAGTTTTGAAAGCAACAGAGAAAATAGAGCAACAATGTAATAAGCCACAGAATGCCACATGTCATAAATTCCCATGGTTTCCATTGTTCCTATCGTTCCTAAGACTGAAACAACATGAAATCTCTATTGCTGTTGGCCTGGCTGATTTTAGTGTTATACTGAATTCATGTAGACATTTAACTTACTCTGACAAAATGAAGTCACATGCACAGACAATCTAGAATCTATGAGGCCCGTTGGTTCAGGTCAAAAGTACAAAGATTACATTTGTTTGTTTTTATGTAATGGACTAAAAATAGAAACAAGGTCATTGCATATCAGAATTTATTTGATGAATTTTTTCGATTCTGTTCAAGGAACAGGAGCAATTTGATTTTGGTAAATCTGTTTGATAAATTTTAGTGTGTGTACACATGTACTGTACATGTAGGAAATATTAATTGAATAGATACAGTGTATGACTCATAAACAGATAACTGTGGGTAATTAATTGGAATTGAAATTAACTACAGTTGGCAATTAAGAAACATATTACACCTGATTATACATGTAATGTAAATACCACTATGAAAGATTGCAAGTAGAGTGGGCATGTACATTGTATGTTGACAATTTTTAAATTAACTGTTGCGAGTTATTGAAGCATAGAGAATGGTGATGGATTTTGTATTACTGCTTCTTGTTTATAAATGCCATAATTTGGCCTCCTCTAAAGTCAATGTGGACATAATTTTGTTGTTTCTTACTGGAACTCGTTTTTTTTGGATCTTCTGTTTTAGTCGTGAAAATTTGTTTCATATTTCATTACTTCCTCTTTTTCAAAGCTATGTTGTAAAGTACTCTCATCTCCGAAGTATGATTTTCTCTTCAATTTTTAATACATTGTCATGATGATTCATAGTCATAATGTTTTTCCATGGTGACTTTTATGAATGAGGTCTTGTGAAACCAAATCGTGTTTCACCTTTCACTTCTTTGTAATGTATTCTTAATTTGTTTTCAGACAATTAAGGTTGTTTGTTATCAAATATAGTTGGTTTCATATTTATTATGTGGTTCTGATTTGCTTTTCTACAGATCTAACAGATGAGCTGAGCTTTGGAAAAGCAAGATTCTGGGTAGAAGAATTATTAAAAAATGAAGAGGTAAATGCCAAGCTGGTGACCTGTCATTTACTCTGATGATAATGATGTACATGTAGTTCCAGGCTTTATAGGTGTAGGGTTGGGGTTGCAGTTTGCAAGATTCTTGGTAGAAATTAGAGAATTTGTTAAAAAATAAAGAGGTACATGTTAAACCAGTGATCTGATATCTGCTTTGGCGACAATCGCTCTGGGCTTTATTTCACTTCATCAAAGGTTAGGGCTAGGGTTACAATTGGGTAATCATTTAAGTTTAGGGTTAACATTTGGTATATGAACATGTATCGTGTTTCATTACTAGAGCATGAATCGCCAAACTACATGCAAGCCACAATATCATTCAAAAGACTAAACATCCATCTATTATTATTATTATTTTTTTGGTTGGGGATGAAATTCTATAAACATCTACAATAGCGCGTCTTCATCATCTCGAGATTGCCAAATAGCCTGCTATTTCTGATTTGGGAAATTATCCCGAAGTTACAAATCGTGTCTTCATCAGCTCGAGATTCGACCTTGAAACTTGAAACTTGACTTTGAGAAATTAGCTCGAGATATTTTGCTCAGCATTCGCGCATAGTGCAAGTCTTCGGTCTGGTGAAGACGCACTGGACAAATAGCTGGATATTTGCAAACTATCCCAAGATATCTTGGGATGACAATCCCGACCAAATATCTCGCTAATTGCAACTTCGGGCTGATGAAGACGCAAATTAGCTGGATAGTTTGCGATCAGGATAGTTCAAATAGCTGGATATTTTGCAATCTCGAGCTAGTGAGGACAGGCCTTATGTGCAAGTGCATTTGTGGTTTAATACAATCAGTGGGATAATGTTGTGGTCGGAAGCATTATTTATAATGGCCTACCTATTTTTTTTTTCAACGAGGAGGAGGGGTTTTCATGTTATTTGATATACATGTTCATGTAGCCTTTGTTTTCATGTACCGGGTATACAATTTTGGTTCAAATCTTATACAAATTCACTTAATGTTAATTGATGTGTTGTTTTCCACCTCCCTGATGCAATATAGAGCCAAAATAACAGTAATGATAATACGATAATGAGAAAAAGAAGAAGAAGAAAAAAACAGAGGAGGAGGAGGAGGAGGGGGGGGGGGGAAACAGGAGGTGTAGGTGAGGAGGAGGAGGAGGAAGAAGAGATTAAATGGCTCTATATGAACAATTTTTGTTCCATTATTGTCTAGATATCCTAAAATTCATCTATAATTTATAACATTTCATTTTCAAATAATGACCAATTACCTGTTTATTTTTATTGTTTCAGCACTGCAAAATCTATTTATGTGGGACCAAAGTTGATCTTGTACAAGACGACAAGAGGTGTCGGAAAGTTGATTATCATGTAACAACAGATTATGCTGATGGTAAGTCCAAATTATTTCTAAATCTTTAAATTGGATCTCAAATACATTGTACAATGGAACTAGCAAAGATCAATTTTGTAGCAAATTTTCTTTATGAACATATTATTTCTGTGGTTCCGAGAAATACATCATGATAATAACAATAACAATAGTCACATTTGTATAGTGCTAAGTAATATGATTCTAAGCGCTTTACATTGTAATTATTCTTACCTTGTTCATTGGATTTAATTACTAATCTGCTCATGATAGTGAGCATGCTCTGCTTCCTGGGGAGTATTCCGGACGGGCGCCACTTTACAAGTGCATACATGCCAATCCAACCACTTGATAAGGCCTTTTGATCAAAGGCAAGGTAATGGCATTGTGTATTCTCCTCTGTATCTCACCTTCACCTCATCATTTCCTTAAATTTAGGATTTCTGTTGTACGCAGAAAACCTAAATTTGTTACTCTTTCTTCAATATTCGACTTCAAACTCATTTGTTTTGAAAATCCTTTCAGAAATGTGTCTGAAATGACATCCTCTTTCACATTTTAATACAATTTACCGGTAAGTGAAATTTTGCCATCAAATTTTGGGGCTCCCAACACTTTATACGGGGGCTTTAATATCACTGTGAGAAAACCTCACTTATACAGCACCAAACCCAGAAGTTCTCCCGTGAATAGGTTATTTGTTTTGTTTTACACTGGGACAAATGTTTGCAAAAGATACTGAAATAAAGATTGACTTTATTCTACATTGTCCTGATAATTTGCTTTTTAAACCACAGAAATACGTGCCCAGGTCTTTGAAACGTCGAGTAAAACAGGACACAATATCAGTAAGTTTTCTTATAAATGCCTCTTAGTCTGGTATTTTGTCTTTGAATGGTCAATTGTGAAATGTGAACATTTCTGAAAACCTCAGCAGAATGGTAATATTATTACAACTTAATACATGTACACCGGTGTGTTGGCTCAGTCAGTAGAGCGTCAGCCTCACAACCGGGAGGTCGTGGGTTCGAACCCCGGCCGCGTCATACCAAAAGACGTTAAAAGACGGGAGTTGCTGCTACCTTGTTTGGCGTTCAACAATAAGGGATAGAGCAACGTCGATCTGGCGCTGCTCAGTGGCTGCCAGGCTCACGATCAATTGGGCAAAAAGAATTTCCATTTTCGGTTTAACTTAATAAAATTTGGAGTGGACTGTAAAAGATTATTATTATTATCAATATTATTACATGCATGAGAAAAGACATTGAAATATAAAGATCTTGAAATTCAGCTAAATTCCATGCTACATGTATGTTATTAGGAAAATTCAACCTTAATAGACTTCTACAACTACTCTAAAAGAAAGCAGACAGATATAAGAAGCAGAATGGTGAAAGTCTGAATGAAATCAGACAACAACAAAAATGAATTTTTGAAAGCTGTAATCACTTTATGTACATGTATGAGCACTTCAAATTGTCTAAATTGATACTGTCACTTTGACGAAGTGCTGGAGAACTTTTCAACTTTTCAATTTATTTCAACACACAAAATGACTAAAATGTCAATTTAAAAAAAAAGTATGACTCAGAAGGTTTTTTTCCTTGTAGAAGACATTTATTTATATGATATCCATAATGTATTTTGAGTATGCCCAAAGGGAGAAGGCTTCTCATTTTGGGCATTACTCAAAAGAGTAAAACAGAAATTAATGAGATTGTTTTGTACACAACTAACAGGAGAGTTGTCCATGACTTCATCACAATTTACTGACCAAATTGCCAATTTGAGTTTCAAATAAAATTAGTGACCACATATTTCAAACATTCATAACTCCTTTATTATTGGTCCGATGTATTTCAAACTTTTACCATTCTTTTTCTCTTATATCTCTGCTTAATTCATTGAATTAACTTATTTAAAAACATTGTATTGCCCTTTTCAAAATTGAAAATAGATCCTGAAATAACTGAATATATTTTGGTATTTCATTATCTCAAGTGATTATCAAACAATGTGCAACTATGATCATGATGCTTTGGTTTAATCATTGGATTGTATTTTCTGTAATACAGAATCTTGATTATTGGAATTGTAAAAGATATTGTTTTTCTTCTTTCACCTACAACAATCTTGTGTTTCATCAGAGGATCTTTTCTTTAAGATAGCCAAAGATTTTGTTGATGATCCAAAGAACAATGAAAATGGTAAGTCACCTGAATAATTATCAACCCTTCAGTTGCATGATAAATACTTTCCTCCCTCTCCTTTCCATAATCTTTCTTCAATGCTGTACTTCTTCCTTACCTGTCTCATCTCATCTTAAAATGTGAAATTCTCAGGCATGTTTTGGTTTCTGGTTTAGTAATATAATAGTAAATATGTTTATATACAAATAATACTCAGCAGTGAGGGCATTAGTAAGAATTACCTAACACGCCAGAGGCTGTTTCTCACTCCGAGTGTGAGTAATTTTACTTATGCCCGAATAAAATGATGTGTATTATTAGTTTCATAACATGATTTTATTTCACCAAAATGATTAAAAAAATAACATACATACCTGTACATAGAACTTATACTTTGTTACCATCAAAAATAGAATACACGTATATACATTGGTACAACAGTATAAAAGTTGCTTGGTAGGTAGCAGACAGAAAGGAAGTGACCTTTATAAGTGGCTAACCTAAAGAAAGTATTATATAATTAAAAGATAAATGTAAGTACCAAATTACAAGGAAATTACAAATTACAACAACTCCACAACAAGTACACACATGATTTCAGTTATGAACTGAAGATTAGGAATTTATTTCATGTTGACATGGTTTTTGTTGTTCATTTAGTTACTGAATTAGAGTTAAGGAATTAGAGTTGAGGAGATTGACATGTGGAGCCCGATACTTCATTGGATTTAATTATCATTGTATTATGCAAGTGTGGAAGAACATCATATAAATAATGTTCCCTGAAAAACATGGCTCCTCAAATGCCTTAACATTCTAAATATGGCATGTAACATCATAAAAATTGGGACGCCACATGTTCATGTATAGTCCAATATACATTTTTCTGTGTACAGTGCTTGTAACTTTACCAAGACTGGGCCAAATTTCTTATCATTTTGATGATTCCAGAACCTTGTAGTACACACCAATACTTATATGGTAGATGATCAACCTTTTCTGATCGTTTCCACAACGTTTCTTTCACAATGCAATCGCATGACCAGAACTTAACTTCATCTTTAAACCTAGACTATAGTTATTATACCTTTATGAATACTGACCACAGACATTATACAATATAGCAGACATGTACTGCCAGCGCCATGAGCATCCCTGGATGGTGTGTGGGCTCTCTATAAGTTTACACTATTATTATTTTTATTATCAATATGGTATTTCTATATTTTTTTTTCTTCAACAGGAGAAGAGACCCCAAATACATTGAAGCTATCAGAAAACAGTCACAAGAAATCCTGTCCCTGTTGACATCACGATAATTCAAGGCCTTTCTACAATCTTGATTCAATCATCGATCTTTATTCAGACATTTGCCAAGCGAGAAAGTGGAGCATCCAGATTTCTTTGCATCTTGATTCAGTTGGAGAGCAATATCAGATGAAAAATGACTGTGATTATTCATGTAAAGCCTGAAAAGACAGATTCTACTGATATTTTGACTTCTTGATAAAAATCAAAGGTGGCTTGAGCCAAGACCAAATCAGCTCAACAGTATTTGACAGGAGCAGGTACTGTAATGGCTTATGTGAGTGTAGTCTACAGCCGGGGAAATCCAGACCTATGACTTATATTCGTTTTGAATATTGAGGGATTGTGTCAAATATACTGAGCTAAGTTATCAGGTACAGCATATTGGCTATTAACGAGAAGTCTGCAGTGTAGGTAGTTCAGAGTTCAGAACCTATGTATTAACCTATATGCACTCTGACTGTGTAGGGTTTGTTCCATTGAACTTTTACCAAATTTAATGAGTGGCTCAGTTTCACCGAAATATCATGCCACGAAATGAGTGAATCTCAACTGACTCGGCATTGATTTTTTTCTAAAGTTCAAGAAAGTTTCTTGCCGTGAAATCACTCTCATTTACAAACCGCTAAAGATTCATGTCAAGAAATTTCAGATTTTGCAGTATTCTGTCCCGTATTAACGTAACTTTGTAAGAATTATAGTTTAGAAGTAACCATTAATCAGTGATTTTTATTACCAGAAAAGAAGATGATTATCTTCACTAATCTTGCCTTGGTGAAATGTGTTATTATTCTGGGTTGTAAAAAGGAAAATATGATATAAAGTAGCTTGGAGAGGAGACAATACAACGAGTCATTTTGGTCGCCTTTGGTCTACTGATTTCATGCATTTACTTACTTAAATAACAATGATATTATTCTTTCCCTCCAAACTTTTTTGTTTATTTTAATTTATTTTTACTTGGGTTTTTATTTTGACATTGAGTCTAAAATTATGGCTTTTCTCCCATTGATGAGTGTCTCTAATTTTGCAGTACCGGTATGTTGTTTTGAAGTATGAGCTAAAAAATTTAAGATATTAGGACATTAATCATTCAAATGTATTTCATTAGACAACCTTTTTAAAGACTTATATTTCATATTACATGAGCTCACCATGGTGGACTTTAATTGATCCAACATATTTATGTTTGTATTTTAATTGAGATAACGTAAAGCTTGTATTGAAATCCCCTCTGCACTAGTTTGGCCAGGTGGGATTAGACCTCCCTGCATGGTCACTGTCTGGTGGTTCTCTCATCAAATCAGCTCTCAATTAACATAGGAAAAGGGGACCATGGGGGAACCAATGGTCACGATTAGGCATTCTCTGCTGTATAGAGGGTGCAAGTAGCTATAAGTAGTGCAGTGGGGATTTATGATGGTGTTATGAAGTATAAATTTTGTGGTACATAAAATAAAAAATGGAACTGGAATCAATATTCATTGTATACTGTTCAGAGTCTTCCTGTGCATGTACAAATATTTCTGAAAATATCCCAACTGATCTAAAGATATTTAATGAAAAAGAAAGAAATTTAAATCAGTGTAAGAATTACTTTTTATTTTGCTGTAGTAGAAAAGAGACTTTATCTCTGCCATTTGTACTTTGAAATGCTTGCACATGTGTCTTATTCATATATGTACATTTGTGGATGACCAGGGGGGAAAGGAAAGAAGGAGGGGGAGGAGGAGAAGGAGAAGAAGAAGAAAGGAGAAGAGGGGGGGGGGGGGGAGAAGAATGAGAAGAAGGAGAAGAGTAGTAGAAGGGGGATCCAAATTATCTGTCAGTTCTATACAACACAAGGGTTTCAGGACATACCTATACAAAGTTTGATGCTCTGACTAATCCAAAGTTGGGCATATGAAGATTTTATGCTAATAGATCTGTGAAACTGTCCCTGAACAATTACATGTATTCTTTATTTGAAGAAACTGGAAATATTCATGTTGTGGGGCAATCTATGCCTTCACAAATAACTGTCTTTTCTTATTTGCCATGTACTCTTTTTGGAGCACTTTGTGCTTCTGCAAGTTATGTCTACATTTTAACACTCTGCACAACTGTGTGTCACATCTAAAAAGCTAACGTGGTTGTGAAATGATGGAAAGAAATTCCAGAGAAAATTTGATCATAAAAATCAGAGTGCGAGTAACATATCTTATCCTCTTTTCCAATCTCAGTGATAGCGTTTAATTAGGTTAGAATGATGCAGCATCTAAAATGTCAAATTTACAAATTCCTTCAGTGCACACAAAATATCGTCCTTGTTTTCACGAAGTGACGGCCGTGAGGAAAATCGTCACACAAAGTGAATGCAATTTTTTCACTACCGTCACTTCGTGAAAACAGCGACGATATGATACTCAACATATGACATAGGTAATTAATGCCTTGTGACTTGTAAGTTAAATTATGATCATTTTGCTCAATGGGGAAACTCTGTTGTGCATAATATATTTCCATTCTTGCTACAATTGGTCGGTTGCATCTTACAATGTACCATATCTTTATAAGGTAAGTTACTATTCAATTTCACTGTAAAGTTACAATGGATTAAAGGAGATTTAATTACTTTTAGTGAGATACAATAAGATTGTAATTCTTGATGTAGTACACAGCCATAGTGTAATAAAGTTACCTATAAATCACATCATTCAATCCATCACTGGGATAATTATCAAGTGAGAGAATTGCATCATAACAAGTAATGTCTTTAATCAAATTTTACCTTTACTTCAGCTCTTTCTTTTCTCATTTACATTGATATTCATTTAGTAAGCTTTTGTACCTAATTTGAACGCTTTTGATTTTTCCCTCGTGTGAAATGATATTTCCTCATGGATGAGCTTCAAGATATCAGCATGTTGATATTTAATCAAGTATTTCTCCATCAAAGTTAAAATTAATATATGATCTAATATATACTGTATAATATTATGTGCAATTTTTTGTTGTAAATGTTATTGCTTATTTTTTTTCATGAAATCATTTATAGATATGCTTATAATTAACAATCTTTCATTGGACCATCTACCGCAACTTGATACAAGGGATGAAATTATTCAATTGATCCTCCCTGTTATATATATATATGAATATACTTTTTTGCCTCAATAAACTTTTCAAAGATCTACTTTGGTATGATTAATGTAATACATGTTCAAATGTTTTGAGTTGTGATTTGTCCATGTCATATTCTGGGTAGCTATTGTTGGTCGGGTTACAGGAAATTGAAAGTACATGTATTTTCATTTGATCATTGACTAAATTTTGTAACTTGGTATTATTTGGTGATATTTAGCTTTCAGGCCTGAAGGCAGTGCTCACCATCTCTGCCTCCTACTCTCAAAATAAGTAGGAGTGGAATTGCACTTTTTTTTTGCATCATACTGGGGAACCACCCTTCATCCTGCACAGTTAGTTGAAGTGAAATCAATATCATATACAAAATCAACCGGCCTGCAGATAATTAATACAAGAAATATTCGTCAAAAGCGCTTGAGTACTAAAACAATTAACCAGCAAATAACTATAAACATGGTTTAACTGAATCATAAAAAAGGGTGGGGAGAAGAGACTATACAAAAGGAGGCGATCAATACAAACATGGAATATAGAAATGGAAAGAGGGGGCGGAAGAGAGAGAGAGAGAGAGAGAGAGAGAGAAGAAAGAAATGAAGAATTTGTGCCTTTCTTTATCATTTCTCTTGAAAAACATGAAAAACTGATTCCTTAAATACTTCTTTTTATTTTTACTGTACGTTTACGGAGAAATTTACCTCATTTTATATACTGGATGAAGCAAAAATAGTTTTATTTGTGTCACCAGAAATGTAGAGTGTCTCGATCTGCACCAAAATCAAATGATAAGAACGAATAGCTGTACTTCATGATTTTTTCTTTCTTTCTTTCTTCCACTTCAAACTTTGGGCTCCATTTTACTACTCCATTTGTGAGTTGGGCCTATACCGGTATAATTATAAAGCTGAGATTATTTTGTCCAGAATATTCCTGGTAGACGAATCAATTGCGCATGCGCTGTAGTAATAATTGGCCTCCATTACATCATATCATGCATGCAGCGACGCGACGCTCCGGTTAAATGCCAATGCATGGATATTGCGTTGCGAAACACGTGTATACTGTACCTTTTGTATGCAAGCCCAATGTAAAATTCGTATGCGCAACACCTACCCACGTTTGTGTCCACGGTAAACTCACAGAGCTCGAACATTTTCATTCTTTCGAGCTGAAACAAGGTGAACAAGTTCAATATGTTGACGGCAGCAAAAATAGCAACGAATTGCCTTCGAGGTACATCTAGCTGTGTGAAGCAGATTTCTCAGCAAAGACATTTTTCCAGCATTTTGAGATCGGTAAGCCAAGTTTGAGATTTGGAGAAATGGGATTGGGAAGCGTGACTGGTAATGTATTGTGCGCGTGAGCCAAATCAGCTGGTTTGGGATCTTACTTAACTGTGTGAGTGTGAGTGTGAAAGGCTATGGTTTGTGTCTTAAAATTTGTCAGGAGAGTTTTACTTGTTACCCTGTTACTCCTGCTACTACTGTTACTACTAGTAAATTATGATCACATGTTGTTTTGTAATTCTCTTCTGAATTCAAGATATCTGACTAGTAGTAGTGTTCTCAATCACCAATGAAATTTGAAGAAATGAAGTGGAAAACTTGTTTGTCTTACTCTAACTTACATGTACTAAGTTACATGAAATGAAAAACATGATCATCATAATCATCGACAGCATCGGCAGTAGGCATGGTAGGGGCACTAGGTTAGAGAATAATAAAGATCGTCCACATAAACGAGGATCTTCGTAAATGCGGACAGGTCTAGACTCTATGCGCCCTGAAAAATGAGGCTTGCCGCATTTTTGCGGACGATTCTGATTTCTGATCTGCGCACTGGCGATGCGAAAAACAGATTCCGCGATGATGCTCCTTGATACATTCCACATTGACTTTCACTTTGTACAGAGACTTTCACGTTATCAGCAACAAATCCTCGGGAAGATGGACAACCCATAAAAGTAGACGTGAATTTAGGGGTATTTTATTACGCGGAATACGTTTTTCGCAATGCCAGAATGTTTTGGGAACCCAACACCCGCATAGCGCCGAAAGATGATCCTTATTTTTTAGGACGCACTTTGTCCACGTTTATGACAATCTCTTCGTTTATGCGGACGATCCTCATTCTCGGACCAGCGCCCCTACTCATCAAACCTTGCATCTCTTATTTCATTTTTCTTATCTTTTTTATACATTCTTTTCAGTAGTTTATTCTCAGGTCAGTGCATGTACATGTACATGCATTTATATTTACATATTTCCATGTAATAATCAATCTATATATAGCTCGTACATTGTTCATGTTGGTGCTGTAATAGATTGAGGTAAATTTAAAGATGTATAATCATTATGATGCAAATTTCGTCAAATTTTTAATTGTATGGAGCACCCCACCAGGCCTCTCGCCAAGAAATTAAAAACGCGTGGCGCGACCCGAGGGAAAATTTGGCCCCCCCCCCCCCCCCCCCAAAAAAAAGAGTAAAAATTTGATTTTTTTTTTTTTTTTTTTTTTTTTTTTTTTTTTTTTTTTAAATTTTAGATCTAATTTATTTTTTACAAGTATTACAAGTAATTTGATGAATTTTTAATACCATACCTGCCAACCCTTACGAATAATTCAGAATATTCTGTTTTGGGGGGTTTCTAGGACCAGAAAATCCGGAATTTTCTGATTTTTCAAAAAAAAAAAAAAAAAAAAAAAAAAAAATCATTTTTTTTTCTTTTTTTTCAAGAACGCGTGGCGCTAGGTCGGGCCGATCAGGAACGCGTGGCGCGCGCGCCACGCGTTATCTGTGTACGCGAGGGCCATGCACCCCACATATATTTGTGTCCATCCTTGTACTTTGTAGGCGGCATCTTCATGGTTGTGTCATCTTTTTAATCATGATCAAAATGTAAGTGGTAACTACAATCTGCATAATGAAAATAAATGTTTTCAAAAATAAAATCTTGGCTTATCTGTAGAATTGCTTTAGTCAGAGAAGAAAATATGAGACTCAATTTTAATCACAATCTATACTTTATCTTAACTTTAGAGCACATGCAGTGTATTAAACTCAGACGCCAGACATCATCAGAGGCACCCATCAAGATGTTACGCATCAGAAACAGTCCGGGGAGCCGTCATTGGTATAGATCTGGGAACCACAAACTCCTGCGTTGCAATCATGGAGGGCAAAACGCCAAAGGTACTGGAGAATGCAGAAGGAGCCCGAACGACGCCCTCTGTGGTGGCATTTACAAAGGATAATGAGAGACTAGTTGGCATGCCAGCCAAGAGGCAGGCTGTCACGAATGCAGAGAACACTCTTTATGCCACAAAACGTCTAATTGGAAGGAGATTCGACGATCCTGAAACACAGAAAGACATGTAAGTTGGGGAAATGGGGCTCATGGACCTGTCTTTGTTAGGCAGGAAAGTGAGGAAACAGATAATTACAGTGAGAGAGCATTAGATCAAACGTGTTATTAACAGAGCAAGTCAAGTGCAGAACATGTTAACTTAATGTAATAATAATCACCAAA